TGTGTGACTGTGTGTGTGTCCCCAGCCTGTTGTGTGACTGTGTGTGTCCCCAGCCTGTTGTGTGACTGTGTGTGTCCCTGCAGTCGCCGAGCGCCCTCAGCACATGCTGATGAGGGTGTCCGTGGGCATCCACAAGGACGACATCGACGCTGCCATCGAGACCTACAACCTGCTGTCGGAGCGCTGGTTCACACACGCCTCCCCCACGCTCTTCAACGCGGGCACCAACCGCCCCCAGCTCTCCAGGTACCCGGGCTGGCACACAGGGAGGGGCAGAGAGCAAGGGAAGTGCTTTCCCAGCCCCTGAAATCACCAGCTGTGTGTCTGTGAGTGTTTGAGGGAGTGTCGAGCAGCTGCTGCCAAATTTAACCCGTCCTTGGGTAACAATACACAGGTTTCTGTGAACTTTGGGAAGTCCTTGCATGTCTCTGTTGTACTGAGAAGTTCCTGATGTGCATGGTCTGCTGCAGGTTATGAAATGAATCCTGGTGGTTGTTTTCTACAGCATACCAGAGGCAGCAAGCTTAACTAATAGGATTTTAGTATACAGATATAACATACAGGTTTATATTTTATAATGCTTTATATCAATGTATTAGGCAAAGATTCTTCCCCCAGAGGGTGGTGGGCACTGACCAGGCTCCCCAGGGCAGTGGGCACGGCCCCAAGGCTGCCAGAGCTCCAGGAGGGTTTGGACAACGCTCTGAGGGACAGGGGGGAGTGTTGGGGTGTCCTGGGCAGGGCCAGGGCTTGGACTGGGTGATCCTTGTGGGTCCCTCCAGCTCAGGATATTCCATGACTCTGTGATTAAAAATGTTTGATACCAGAGATATCAGCAGTTACAACTCCTGATGTTTTCTGAGCCCGTCCTTTACTCCACCTTCACCCCCGTGGGTTTCCCTCGAGGAGCACGTTAAAGGTTCCGTGTTCACCCTGGGTTTTGCAGCCTGGTGAAGCTGTTCTGACTTTCCCTTTCCCCCTTTGTGCACTTTTGTTCCCACCAGCTGCTTCCTGCTGTGCATGAAGGACGACAGCATCGAGGGCATCTACGACACCCTGAAGCAGTGTGCCCTCATCTCCAAGTCTGCCGGGGGCATCGGCCTGGCCGTCAGCTGCATCCGAGCCACGGGCAGCTACATAGCTGGGGTGAGTCTGCAGGGGCTGCCACAGGGATGGCCTGGGTTTGCTCTCAGGAGGTGGCTTTTTCTGGATTGCCAAATCAGTGCTGCTTCTGCTGACTCAGTTCAGCCCAGCAGTGAGTCTCACTCAGTGCTCCTTCCCTTGCCCTGAGGCAGAAAGGTTGGTTTCCCTTGGTGTTTTGGTTTCCCTTGGTGTTTTGGCTTCCTAATAGAAGTCCTTCCAAAAAGAGGATCTTATTCCACTGTTTGAGCAGACAATTCCAGCTTACTTACGTGTTAGCAGCCTAGGAATATTACCTGGTGCATTGGCCCTTGGCCTTTCTGTATCTCTGACTGCCCCAGGACATCTGTGGATGTGTGTTTGGGGATTTTTGTCACACTGTGTGTAACCCCTGCAAGCCTTCAAGTGACATAATAGAGGAAAGAAGTTAGGAGAGATATTTTATTAACCCTGGGACCAGTAGCTTATATATATTAAAAAGAAAGATTTGCTGAAGGGACTGCAAATAATTGGGGGTGGTCAGTTCTTGGCTCTCAGTGCCAGAGCTTTCCAGACTGCTGGAAGGCACGCAGGAAGTGCAGGCCTGTCTCTCCAGGGAGTTTCTGTTCAGCACTGATGTTTCTCCTGTGCCTCTGCAGACAAATGGAAACTCCAACGGGCTCGTTCCGATGCTGAGGGTCTACAACAACACCGCCCGTTACGTGGATCAGGGGGGAAACAAGGTACTGGCCCTGCTTTAGTTCCAGTCCAGGGGGAATCTGGGGTCACAGGGAGAGGCTCCACACCTGGGAAGGGTGGTTGTGGGTGACACACAATTAAAAAAGGGCATTTCCCCCATTGTGTTTTTACTCTGGTGTTCCCCCTCAGTTCCCTGATAGCTTGGGGTGTTGTGTGCACTCGGGAGCAGAGCGGGAGGTTTTCTTTCCTAGGACAGTTTGTTCTGATCTTGGCTGTGTTCCACGTACCAGAGACCTGGGGCTTTTGCCATCTACCTGGAGCCGTGGCACCTGGACATCTTTGAGTTTCTGGACCTGAAGAAGAACACTGGGAAAGAAGAGCAGAGAGCCAGAGATCTTTTCTTTGCCCTCTGGATCCCTGATCTCTTCATGAAACGGGTGGAAACCAACCAGGTGAGAAGCCTGATTGGCACAGAGTAGGTCTGTTGATGGAGGGACAGGGGAGCAGCCCTGGGGGGAGCTCAGGAATTTCCTGAGAGGGCTGCTGCCCCTCTTTTGAGAAGCTGGCTGTGCAGGTAGAGGATGGAGCTGAACAGCTCCCGTGGGATACTTCACTTCAGGGCTTAATCTTTCAGCCACTGACTTACGTGCTCAGACTGTTGACTAAATTTTTACTGTGGAGTTTCCTTAAAGCATCAACACTTCCTCAGTAAATTGTTCTGTGTCTGCTTGTATTTCACACAGAATCCCAGACTGGTTTGGGTTGGGAGGGACCTTAAAACTCACCGAGTGCCACCCCCTGCCATGGGCAGGGACACCTTCCACCAGCCCAGGTTGCTCCAAGCCCCATCCAACCTGGCCTTGGACACTTCCAAGGATGGGGCAGCTGCAGCTTTAATCAAAAGGGTCCATAAAGATTTCCTCTGAATATTTTTCCTTTTTACAGGACTGGTCCTTGATGTGCCCAAATGAGTGTCCTGGCCTGGATGATGTCTGGGGAGAGGAATTTGAGAAGCTATATGAGAGGTAAGAGAGTGAACAGACCTGTAAGTTGTGTCATCTCTCACAGAGCTGCCCGTGGGATCTGGGGCAAGGCACAGCATTGTGGGCAGGGGGTTCATTGTCATGCTGATAAAAGGGTGAAGAAGAGGGGTGTTTCCTTCACACTGTGACCTGCTCAAGGTGGGGCTGTGTGTGAGTGGTCACTTCAGCTGGTGAGAGGGAAGTCCTGCAGTGATCTCCACCTAGAGCTCTCCATGGCTTTGCTTGGAACTTGCTGTGTGGGTGTTGTAGCGAAAGATTTGCTTCCCTTAAACGAGGGCAGTGTTGCTGCCCTGCTGTGCTCGTTCAGAGCTCAGAGCTCAGCAGTGAGGGGGCTCCTGGCTGCCTGAGAACCTGCTGTGTTGGGCAGGGTCTGTCCCTGCCGTGGGAGCCTGAGCTGACAGCACCGTGTGCCCGTTGCAGCTACGAGCGGCAGGGCCGCGTGCGCAGGGTGGTGAAGGCCCAGCAGCTCTGGTATGCCATCATCGAGTCCCAGACAGAGACTGGCACACCCTACATGCTCTACAAGGACTCCTGCAACAGGAAGAGCAACCAGCAGAACCTGGGCACCATCAAGTGCAGCAACCTGTGCACCGAGATCGTGGAATACACCAGCAACGAGGAGGTGGGTGGGGAGCGGGAACGCGCGGCCTCGGGGGGAGCTGGGTTAGGGTTAGGGTTAGGGTTAGGGTTAGGGTTAGGGTTAGGGTTAGGGTTAGCCCTTGGGAACAGTGTCCAACTGGGGCCTGGGCAGGGGAACAGGCAGCTGAGAAGCTTCTAACTCGAGTACTCAGCTCTTCCACTGACTGTGTGGGTTCGCCTCCTTTCCCACTGCTATGGAGGGTTTGGGATAACGCAAGATGGCCATAAAAGGGAACCTCCAGGAGCTGAGGGGGCTCTTTGCCTGGCTGGGAGCTGCTGTAAGCAGCTCTTCAGCTCCTGCTTTAGGAAAACCCTGCCCCTCTGACCCCCAGTAGCAATTCCCTGAGCTCCCTGTGTGCTTCTCTGGTCCCAGAGCTCCATGGATGTGCTGTGGCTGGGCTGCAGCACAGCTAACAAAGGTGAAGGAGGACATAGAGATGGGTCAGTGCTGATACAGGGCAGGGAGTTCCGGAGCAGCCAAGCTCTGAGGCTGCTGTGACTGAAAGGATCAGTTTGTGCTGCCTGTGCTGCTGGTGGTTCTTTAATTCACGTGCTTCAGAATGTTCATCACATCCTGAGTGGTCTGGAAGAGATGGAGCCAGCTCTCCTGCCTGCACTGCACAGGAAACCTTAACTGACTTCTTTTCAGTTCTCCCAGGGTTGAAAGTAAAGCTGGTGTTAAAAAAATGACCCAAGAAAATGCCCTGGTGTATCTGGGTCTCATTGGGATCAGCTGCTGCTCTGGGAACACAAGAAATAGTTGGACTTAGTTTATGTGGACCTTGAAGCCTCTTTCAGTGCCTAAAGGGGCTCCAGGAGAGCTGGAGAGGGACTGGGGACAAGGGATGGAGGGACCTGGGACAAGGGGGAATGGCTTCCCACTGCCAGAGGGCAGGGATAGATGGGATATTGGGAAGGAATTCCTGGCTGGGAGGGTGGGGAGGCCCTGGCCCAGGTTGCCCAGAGAAGCTGTGGCTGCCCCTGGATCCCTGGAAGTGTCCAAGGCCAGGTTGGACGGGGCTTGGAGCAACCTGGGCTGGTGGAAGGTGTCCCTGCCCATGGCAGGGGTGACACTGGATGGGCTTTAAGGTCCCTTCCCACCCAAACCATTCCATGATTCCACAAGTCCCATGGGGGCTCAGGGGCAGCGCTGAGGTTTGTGTGAAAATCCAACCCCACACACCCCCAGTTCCTCTCTGATCCTGCTCTGAATGTCTTGGAAAGCAGCAGCTGTGACAATTGTGGGCCTGAAACAGCATGAGAAGATCTGGTGTTTAAGTCCCTGCCCATGGCAGAGCTTTGAGGTCCCTCCCAACCCAAGATGAGGGTCCCTCCCAACCAAGATGAGCTTTGAGGTCCCTCCCAACCCAACCCCTTCTGACATTCTGTGTAAGGATGCCCTGCAGGCAGTAGGACTGACCAGGCATGAATTTTTCAGGCCATCCCACTTTCTCCTAAACCTTTCTGAGCCATCATTGCCTTTCTCCCATCTCCTGAGGCACCACAGGAGCAAGGGCTGCCTTTTCCCAGCGCTGTGGGTTCCCTGGTGGTTGTTCCCGTGCCGTTGGGATCCCGGGCCCGCCGTGGGGCTGAGCTGTGTGCCTCTGGCCCGGGGCGTTGCTGCCGTGCCCCATGCCCGTGCTGTCCCCACAGGTGGCCGTGTGTAACCTGGCCTCCATCGCCCTCAACATGTACGTGACCCCCGAGCACACCTACGACTTCAAGAAGCTGGCAGAGGTCACCAAGGTCATCGTCCGGAACCTCAACAAGATCATCGACATCAACTACTACCCTGTGCCAGAGGTGAGGGCTGGCCTGGGGGGGCAGATCCTGCCAGAGCCCGGGCTGGAGCAATCCCAGAGCAGGCTGGGACACAAGGAGTCACTGAGGGACTTTATAAACCTGTTCCCATATGGGCCCTGTTAGTGCAGCTGGAGCTTCAACCCAGAGCTGTTCTGTAGGGAAGCAGTTGTAGGAAAAGCCTCCCCTTGAGGTGGTTCTAGGAGTTGTTTCGTGTGTGGGGATTTCCATAAAGCACAGAACAGCCCTAGGAACAGAGTGGGAAGTGCAGCAGAGAGAGGGATCCTGGGAAGATCCCAGGAAGGTGTAACTCAGTCCTGTTGGGTTTACAGCTCTCTGAGAGGAGGGTGGAGCCAAGTGGGGGTCGGGCTCTTCTCCCAGGGAACAAGGGACAGGGCAAGAGGAAACAGCCTCAAGCTGTGCCAGGGGAGGTTCAGGTTGGACATCAGGAATAATTCCTTCCTGGAAGGGGCTGTCCAGCCTTGGCACAGCTGCCCAGGGATGTGGAGTCACATCCCTGGAGGGATTTAACAGCCCTGTGGATGTGGCACTAGGGGACAGGGGTCAGTGGTGGCCTTGCTGGGGGAACAGTTGGACTTGATGGTCTCTGAGGACTTTTCCAACCTCTGTGGTTCTGTGATTCTGCTCTATTTAATGGACCTGTTTCCAGGCACGGGCCTGTTTTTCAGAACATGCTGAGTGTTCACTTCTAAACCCTGACTCCCCTTGCCAGGTTAAACAATTCCAGCCCATGATCAGTTCTAACAAACCCAGTCTGGGCCTCCAGTTCCTGCCCCAGCAAACAGCCACAGAGGGGCCCTGGGCAGGCCTGAGGGGTGGGGTGGTGCAGCAGAAAGGAGGGCAGGTTGCAGCAGCAGGGTTTCCTCCCAGAGGCCCTTCCCAGCCCGGTGTGTTCCCTGTGGCTGTCCCTGAGGTGACCACTGTCCCTGAGGTGACTGCTGTCCCTGAGGTGACCACTGTCCTGAGGTGACCACTGTCACCGCTGTCCCTGAGGTGACCACTGTCACCGCTGTCCCCGAGGTGACCGCTGTCCCCACTGTCCCCGCTGTCCCCGCTGTCCCTGAGGTGACCACTGTCCCCACTGTCCCCGAGGTGACCACTGTCCCCGCTGTCCCTGAGGTGACCACTGTCCCCACTGTCCCCGCTGTCCCCGCTGTCCCCGCTGTCCCCAAGGTGACCACTGTCCCCGCTGTCCCCGAGGTGACCACTGTCCCCACTGTCCCCGCTGTCCCCGAGGTGACCACTGTCCCCACTGTCCCCGCTGTCCCCAAGGTGACCACTGTCCCTGCTGTCCCGCAGGCCGAGCGCTCCAACCGGCGGCACCGGCCCATTGGCATCGGCGTGCAGGGCCTGGCCGACGCCTTCATCCTCATGAGGTTCCCCTTCGAGAGCCCCGAGGCCCAGCGCCTGAACCAGCACATCTTCGAGACCATCTACTACGGGGCCCTGGAGGCCAGCTGTGAGCTGGCCCAGGAGCAGGGCCCCTACGACACCTACCAGGGCTCCCCGGTCAGCAAGGGGGTGAGTGCCAGGGAAAACCTGGGAAAGCTCATCCTGGGCTGGGCTGGGGCACAGGCAGGAAGGGACCGGGCAGTTCTGGTTGGTGGCAAGTTGGATCTGAGTCCCGGTGTGCCCTGGCAGCCAGGAGGGACATCCCTGTCCCAGGGGGCATCAGGCACAGCACTGAGGGGGTGTTGTCCTGCTCTGCTCTGCACTCACCTCAGTCCTGGGGGTGTTTAGGGCACCACGATACAAGAAGGATCTGAAACCGTTAGAGAGCACCCAAAGGAGGGACAGGGGGATGGGGAAGGGTCTGGAGGAGCCCTTGAGGAACAACTGAGGGCACTTGGCTGGTGCAGCTGGAGCAGAGGAGCCCCAGGGCAGAGCTCAGCGGGGGCTGCAGCTCCGACCTCTGGGAGCAGGGACAGGACCCAGGGAAGGGCTGGAGCTGGGACAGGGCAGGCTCAGGGTGGATCTCAGCACAAGGTTCTTCCCCCAGAGGGTGGTGGGCACTGACCAGGCTCCCCAGGGCAGTGGGCACGGCCCCAAGGCTGCCAGAGCTCCAGGAGGGTTTGGACAATGCTCTGAGGGACAGGGGGGAGTGTTGGGGTGTCCTGGGCAGGGCCAGGGCTTGGGCTGGGTGATCCTTGGGGGTCCCTCCCAGCTCAGGATATTCTGATTCTATGGTTTGAAAAGAAAAGCAAGACTCAGCCAGTGGTGGCTGTGCCCTGGAGCACAGTCAGAACACTGAGTGTGAGGTCACTGTACAGGAGCTTCCCTAAGGCTGAATTGTAGAGAAGAGTTAATGGGAATAACAGGTCTGTTTCCAATGGGAATTATGAAATGTGGAGAAAAGAATGCCCTCTCTAATTTGGACTGAACTGTGTTCTTCAGATCCTTCAGTATGACATGTGGAACGTCACCCCCTCTGACCTTTGGGACTGGAAGGCTTTGAAGGAGAAGATTGCCAAGTGAGTAGCCCTGCACAGTTTGGAGTAGGTGTGAAGGACCTTCATGGAATTCCAGTCTGGTTTGGGTTGGGAGGGACCTTAAAGCTCATCCATCCCACCCCCTGCCATGGACAGGGACACCTTCCACCAGCCCAGGTTGCTCCAAGCCCCATCCAGCCTGGCCTTGGCCATGAATTTGGTATGTTCTGTTTACTGAAAACTACAGGCAGGGTCCAAGTGTAAAAACAACCCCCTGTGTTCCCCTCCACCCCAGCAGATCTTTCTTCAGACTGGTTTTTGGGTGGTTTCCTTGCACTTTTATTCCTCCAAGGCAGAGGAGCTCACCCCCACTACCCTGCTTTAGCTGAGCTCTCATTTCATCTTGGATGCATCAGCAGGATTTATATTCCCATTAAACACCTGTAGTGGTGAGTGAGGCACTGTCAGCCAGGCTTGGGGACTCTGCCTGCTGCCAGGGAAGAGCTGAGCCTTGAACATCCTGAAAGCAGGAATTGTTGAGGCATGAAGTGCCTGGAATGAATTAATTCAGGTTTTCTGGCTCTAATTTTTAAATGTGGTGGATCTGTCTCCTGTTCTGGGTGTGGGGAGGTCTCGGGCTCTCCATGGGCTGCTGGTTTGGTTCTGCCTGGGCACTCTGGGGTTGTGCAGGGCCTGACAGATTGTGTTCTGAGCAGCCTGTGTCATGACCAAATCATTTGGGAAAGCCTCTGATTTAGGTGGAAACAGCAAAGCCTTTAGTTCTGCTCCCACTTGACCCACAATGCCAGTTTGGTAGCCCTTCCCTTTTCCTGGTGGGAGGGTTTGCAGGTTCCCCCAGATTTCTGGGTCCCTGTGCTGTCCTTGGCTCTTTGGTCTCCTGTCTCCCTTGGCTGCAGCTCTGTGACTTTGCCTGCTGTCCCCAGGTACGGTGTGAGGAACAGCCTCCTCCTGTCCCCCATGCCCACTGCCTCCACTGCCCAGATCCTGGGCAACAACGAGTCCATCGAGCCCTACACCAGCAACATCTACACCCGCAGGGTCCTCTCGGGGGAGTTCCAGGTGAGCTCAGGCACTGTGGGCAAGAGCTGTGCCCTTGTCTGGCATCACTGTCACTGAGAACAGAGACAGGGGGGAGGCCTCACCTCGGTGGCTCAGTTCAGTTGAATGTTTGTGTCCAAGCACCGAGGGAACGTGGAGCTTTGTGTGTTCCATCCTGGAACATGGGAAATGATAAAGAAGTGCTGGTTTTGACTGGGAAAGGCCTTTGTGGGGCCTCAGGGTGGCCTGCAGGAGTGACTGCTGAAGGAGGGACAGTGACATGGTGGAAAGGACATGGGTGCTGTGGAATGAGGGGCCATGGAAGAGCTCCACAGATGCAGAGGGGCCTGTCAGGAAAGGGTGTGGAACACGAGTTCTGGAGGCTGGAGACAGCAAAGACCTCTCTGGAGACAAGGGGAGTCTCTGCCTGTGTGGGAGGTGTGTCCATCTCAGAGGTGTCTCCTCAGAGCTGTTTTGGGGTGCTCTCTATCCCTCCTGGCTGCAGGATCCCACCACATGAGTGGTGAGGCCAGAGCAGTGGGTTTATGAACCTGCCTCCCTGTGTAGGGCAGGGGAGGGCTGTGGGATGGGGACCCTGTCCCAGCAGGGAAATCCTGGCTGTGCTTTCCTCCCAACTACTCAGCCTGCACTGCTTCTGTTCTTCCCCCTCCTGACCTGTCCTGGTGATTGTTTAGTGACTCAGGCTGTGGCCAGTGGTCCTGGAAGAGCAAGATGTCTCCCTGTCCCCTCTTTTGGCATTCCTGATGCAGGGCAGTTCCATACACCCCCTTCTCATTTGGCATGTCCAGCAGGATCCCAGAATGGTTTGGGTTGGGAGGGACTTCCAAGATCCTGTAGTTCCAACCCTCTGGTGTAGACAGGGACACCTTCCAGCATCCCAGGTTGCTCCAAGCCCCTGTCCTTGGACACTTCCAGGGGTGGAAATGTTATCCCTGTGCCAGGTCTGCCTGGCCACACAGATCCCTCAGCGCTGACCCAGGAGTGAGACTCTGTCAGGGCTGTGCAGGGTCTTGTTGGACCGTGTCAAAACCTTCTTTGCCCCTCTCAGGTGGTGAATCCCCACTTGCTGAAGGACCTCACGGAGAGGGGCCTGTGGAACGAGGAGATGAAAAACCAGATCATTGCCCACAACGGCTCCATCCAGGTAGGAGGGAGCAGGGCAGGGGTCCCTGCCTGGCAGGCTCTGCTCAGTCTGGAGGCCCCCTTACAAAGGTCATAAAGAGGTGATTTCACAGCAGGGAGCGCTGTAGGATCCTGGAATATCCGAGTTGGATGGACCCACAGGGATCCTCCCGTCCAACACCGGGGCCATTGGTGGTTACACCCCCTTGGAAAACCCTTCCTGTTCCTTTCAGAACATCCCTGAGATCCCGGACGACCTGAAGCAGCTCTACAAGACGGTGTGGGAGATCTCCCAGAAAACCATCCTGAAGATGGCTGCGGACAGAGGGGCCTTCATCGACCAGAGCCAGTCCCTCAACATCCACATCGCAGAGCCCAACTACGGGAAGCTGACCAGCATGCACTTCTACGGCTGGAAACAGGTACTGGGAGGGACTGGGGAGGGGTCAGCACTGGGA